TGCTGCTGCTGCTGCACCGCCCGCAGCAAAAGCGGCGGCTTTTGTCTTTATTTTCATAGAAACAAAAAATTGTTTATTTTCAGTTTGTTGAGAATTAGAGTTTGTTTTTGCTTCTGTTGCTGCTGCTGCTGCTGCTGCAGCAGCAGCAACAGAAGCAGCACGGGAGCAGCAACAGCAGCAGCAACTGCTGCTGCTGCTGCTGCTTCATTCGTGCTCTTGAAATAACAAAGAAAGTGCAGCAGCAAGAACAGACGCTTAGACGGCTGCTGGCCGCTAGCTGCTGCTGCTGCTGCTGCTGCTGCTGCGGCTGCTGTTGCTGCTGCTGCTGCTGCTGCTGGTGATAGAAGCAACAAAAAAATATCTGCTGCATTTACTATTGCTGCATTAGCAGCAACAAACTCGCTGCTGCTGCTTCTGCTGCTGCTACTGCTGCTGCTGCTGCTGCTGCTGCTGCTGCTACTGCTGCTGCAGCAACTCCCGCCTATGCCGTTTCTCAACCAGGATTTCTCCCGCTCTATTTCTGCTGCTGCTGCTGTTTCTGCTGCTGTTGCTGCTGCTGTTGCTGCTGTTAATCATATCCTTTTTTATCTTTTGCAGCAGCAGCTGCTGCAGCAGCAGCAGCAGCAGCAGAAGCAGCTCTTTGCAGTCTGCGTTTTCTCCCGCGTTGCTGCTGCTGCTCCTACTACTACTGCTGCTGCTGCTGCTCCTACTGCTGCTGCTCCTACTGCTGCTGCTGCTGCTGGTGGTGGTTCTGTTGCTCAGCCCCTTCTTTTCTTTTGCTGCAGCAGCAGCAGCTCTCTCCTGTCTTCCTCCTCTGCTAGTTGTTTGCTTCTCTTTTCTTCCTGCTGCTGCTGCGTGAAGCTGCTTTCTATACACTCCCCCAAATCGAGCTGCGCATACACCCCAGGATCGTAGCCAGTAACAGCTCTCATTTCTCTTCTCCATTCAGGTTCTGCTTTTCTCTTGCTGCTGCTGCTGCTGCTGCTGCTGCTGCTGCTGCTGCTGCTGCTGCTGCTTTGCTGCTCCTCCTCGTCGTCGTCAGCTATAAAGGAAGATAAGTCGGAGTCATCGTCCCCCCATTCATCTTCGCTGCAGCTTCTATCTTCTTGCTGTCTCCTTTGCTGCTGCAGCAGATGCTTCTGTCTCTGCTGCTTCTGCTGCTGCTGCTGCTGCTGCAGCTGCTGCTGCTGCTGCTGGGACACAGAACCCGGCTGCAGCAGCTGACGCTGCCGCAGCAGCTGGCGGGAACGAGAGCCAACAGGCACAGAGAAAGATAGACGCGCGCTGGGGGAGGGTAAGAAACCCCGCTGCTGCTGCTGCTGCTGCTGCTGCTTCTGCTGCTGCTCCTGCTGCTGCTGCTGCTGCTGCTGTAATTTCTGCTGCTGCGGTGCAGCAGGAGGAGGCTGCGGCATAGCCCGAGAAGGCTGGAACGCCAGGACCTTCTTTCCCTGTTGCTGCTGCTGCTGTTGCTGCTGCTGCTGCAGCAGCAACTCTTGCTGCTCCTTCTCTCGCAGCAGCTTCTGCATCAGCAGCTGCCGTTGACGATGACGAAGCAGCGCCTGCTTGTTGCCTGCTATGGTGCTGCTGATCTTGGGTTTTGCTGCTGCTGCTGCTGCCGCTGCTGCAGGACTAGAAGAACTCGGAGACTTCCGCTGCTGCTGCTGCTGCTGCTGCTGCTGCTGCTGCTGCTGCTGCTGCTGCTGCTGCTCGCGGGGGGGCGTCGGAGATTCAGAGTGCGACCAAAGCCTTTCCCCTCTCGGCGACAGTTGCCGCTGCTGCTGCTGCAGTTGCTGCTGCAGTTTCTGCTGCTGCTGCTGCTGCAGCTGCTGCTGCTGCAGTTGCTGCTGCGCATAATTCCTGGGGTTCCATGGCTCTACCCCCTTCGCCAGATCGATGCTGCTGCTGCTGCTGCTGCTGCTGCTGTTGCTGCTGCTGCTGCTGCTGCTGGTGTTGGTTCTGGTGTTGCTGTTGTTTTTGGTAGGTGTTGCTGCTGCTGCACAATAAGGTGCAGCCCTTGCTGATGGTCCAGCTGTTGCTGCTGCTGCTGCTGCTGCTGCTGCTGCTGCTGCTGCTGTTGCTGCTTTGAGTGTTTCACAAGAAATAGATGTATCGCCGCGGTCAAAGCCCTCGGGCCTCTCCCGCAGCAAACGAACGTCTGGGTTGCTGCTGCTGCTGGGCTTGCTGCAGATATGTTTTATTATTTTTGTTCCGTCTTCGCTCCTCATTACAACGATGCTGCTGCTGTTGCTGCTGCTGCTGCTGCTGCTGCTGCTGCATGTGCTGCTGTTGCTGCTGCTCCTGCTCAAAAAAAATGGATGCACCTGCCGAGACTTTGTCTTGGACCGCACGCTGCCACTGCTGCTGCTGCTGCTGCTGCTGCTGCTGCGTTGCAGGCTGCTGCTCCTGTTGCTGCTGCCTGAGCTGCTGCTACCCCCCAAGCTACGTGGGATCGACGATCCCGCGCGGTTGGCTACAGGCATTCTAAATGCTGCTGCTGCTGCTGCTGCTGCTGCTGCTGCTTTGGGGGGCCTTCCTTGCTTTCTCATTCGCTGCTCATCCTCCTCTAGCTGCTGCCGCTGCAGCAGCAGCTCCTGCTGCCGCTTCTGCAGCTGCTGCTGCAGCGCAGCGTGAACACTCTCCCGCCCAGACTCCTGCTGGCTGCTGCTGCTGCTGCTGTTGCTGCTGTTGCTGCTGCTGCTGTCGTTGACGCTGCAGGTGCTGCTTGTGGTGCTTGCGCATGTACTTGGTTCGCTGCTGACGCTGTTGCACAATGCGTTGTTGCTGCTGTTGCTGCTGCTGCTGCTGCAGTTGTTACTGCTGCTGCTGCTGCTGCTGCTGTCGCTGTCGAGTGGCTTTCCCTCTTGCAGCTGCTGCTGCTGCTTCTCCAGCTCCAGCAGCCGCTTACTGAGTGCCTGCACTTGCTTCTGCGCCTGTCTATCTACGATTACACTCCTTCCTGCTGTTCTTAGCTGTTTCAGTACTTGCTGCCTCTCTTGCTGCAGCTGCTGCTGCTGCTGCTGCAGGAGTTGCTGCTGCTCTTCTTCACGCCGACGTGCTTCGGCCTCTTGTTGCTGTTGCTGCTGCTGTTGCTCTTGCAACAGCCGCTGTTGCTGACGCCGCAACTGTTGCTGCAACTGTTGCTGCAGCTGCTGCTGTTGCTGCTGCTGCTGCTGCTGCTGCTGCTGCTGCTGCGCTAGCCGCCTCCTCCTCTCATCGATAGACGAAGGCCGCGAGGGATGTCCTAGGAAGCCCCCGGTGTCGACCTTTGGGGGCCCAACGAGGGCATCAAGAAGATCCATGTTGCTGCTGCTGCTGCTGCTGCTGCTGCTGCTGTTGCTGCTGCTGTTGCTGTTGCTGTTGCTGCTGTCTGGCTGGTGCAGCAGGAGTTGCTGCTGCTGCTGCTGCTGCTGCGTGTACTCACTGTACCCGCCGACGGCAGCAGTAGTTGAATGGTTGCAGCGTATCGATGACGCTGCAGGAGGTGTATATACACCTCAAAGAGTTGCAGTAGATGTTTATTCCTATGATATAAACAGAAGTCATAAGAATTTCTACTGCTTTCTCTCTCTTATAAACCTGAACTGCTGCAGCAACACCACCAGCCAGCCCCGCGGCGGTGAAGACGACGAGAGCAGAAGAAAGAAGAAAAAGAAAGTTTATAAGACAGAAGTGTATTCCCACATGAAATATAAAACACAATACATAAAATAAATATATATTATACAGAATATCTGAGCCAGAGAAGAAAAAATAGAAAGAAGATACAGGTTGTTGTTGCAGCCGCTTCCTTGCTGATCGAGAGGTAGCGATATAACATACAGACCGTGACTTGAGCTTGTTTCATATAAACACAACTCCTTCGCTGTATAACGTCAACTAAGAAGAATATAAAAATAAAACAATATAATAAAGAACTTTATTCATATTCAAAAATATGAGGCAGCTCTAGACACCTAAACTGCTGCAGCTTACCGCGGGCTAGCGACAGCCGTTCATGCCGCGGCGGGCGCAGCAGCAGCAGCAGCAGCAGCAGCAGCAGCAGAAAGGCCCCAGGCATCAGCAGCTCGCTAGCTCTGGGTTTATTTATGTTTTATTTTGTTTGTTTTCTTTATCGAATTTATAATATAATTGTTTATTAAATATAAATTTAATTTGTCTGAACTCAGATTCATATTCTTTACTTCTGCACGCCACCCAACGCCCAGAAACATGAAATATGAATCTCAGTGAAACCTGAATATTTTTTGCAAATTCCGGTCAACTTGTTCAAGAGAAATATTTTAAAACTACTTTTAAACTTTAACATCCAGTTATTCCCACAATTCCAGAGTTTTTTTGTAGAAGTTTCTGCATTTTTGTTGGCTTCGGTCTTGCAGCCAGAGCCATGCTATGACGCTTGCTCTCTTGCCTTTATCTAGGAGAGAAGCGAGCTGCACTGTAGGTAAACACTTAGAGTCAGAGTTTCCCCAAAACCAGCTGACCAGTTTCCCCTGTCTTCAGACGTCATGGGCGTTGAGCCCAGGCCTGGGTGTTGCGGGGAGGAGGCAGTCTGAAATGGGGTTGCAGCGCACCTCGCTGCGACTGGAAATACAAGCCAGCCTCACGCGTGTACACGAGGAAGTTTCAACAAAGTTTCTTTTGATGCATGCTTTACCTCTGAATACACTTATAGAACGTTTGCGTGTGTTTACACTCAACTTACCAAGGCCAAGTGAAGTTTCCTGTAGCAGCCCATGTAGTGGAAAGGCACTACAATGGAGCTCAAGTGGAACGTTCACAGACCTAGTTAGCTGTAAGAGAAAAAACACAATACTTACAGAGACAAGTTGTATTACTTTAGATAGAATGTTAAGGTAACCAAACCAGGATGGCTGAGCAGCCACACCAACGTGGCTGCCTACAAGACAGACGCTGCGGTTCAGACGCTGATTCAACGCAGAGTCAGACAGGATATTAACCATTCTAGAGATTTCCTTTTTAAGACGAAGAGACTCGAATATGTTTTTCAGATGATAATTTGAGTATGTGGGTCCTTATAGTATGGATCGGCCTTGTTTAGTGCAAAGATGTAGAGTATGAACCCCGTAGGGTTGTCATATGGTATACTCGTAGTAACAGCAGAACCAGCTGACCACTACAAGCCATGCTACATGTGCCCCTCCGTCCGACGAAAAACACACGTCCCCGTCTGTCGATGTGCCGACTGAAGGCGAGATGGCAGGTCTGGGCCGTTGCCTGCAGCTGCCGGTGATGCTGTCGAGGTTCGCGCTGCTGTGCCTCGCGCTGCCCGTTCATGTGCGTCTTCTGCTCCCGCGCTGAAATACTGGAGCGTCGTGATACGCGTCGATGAGCAATGGAAGATAATACGCCGAGAAGGCCCAGTCAGCAGCCTGTCAGGGGACTTGCCCAGCTGCTGTTGTTGCGGCGGGCGCTGCCTGTCTTGCTACGGCGGAAGCGGAAGTGGTAGTCAACGCGCAGCTTTCGCGTTGCTTCCACTGGTAAAGGTAGATTAGTGTGAAGGTAAGACATAATGGAAAACATGAGGGAACGGGACAGCCACAGTTCCTCCAGGGTGCTGGGGGGTGAGGCCAAGCCAGGGGAGGGGTAAGACACTGAGGAGGCAGGTCAAGGGCCTGGGTCCCCTAACCATCTGCCGGCGGGGGGGCCGACGCCAACGATGTCTGCGGGGGGGCCAGAAGAGCCCGATGGACTGCTTCCCGTAAGCGATCTTCCGAACCCCACTCAGGTTCATGGGTGCCTGGCAATTTTACATAGTACTCGCATTTCCTATAGCTTCTGCGAGTGCTAACCCGTCTCTCCCACTCTGGTGGGGAAACAGCAGCGACGTCCCCGCGAGAGGCCATCCATGGAGGGTACAGGGATTCTAGAGAACCGTCGAGCTTCCCGAAATGGTTTCAAGAAACCGACGTTAATGGTGTGATGGCATCTCCGCGATGAGGGTAAGTCCAAGATGTAGGCTAATGCATTGATCGGAGAGCGGCAGAAAGCGGTCCAACCCATCATGTTGCAAACTTTTGGGGTTGTTCGTCCTCCTGCGCTTTACGGAGGGCATCTGAATCCACTAGAACCAATGCATTTCTGTTGAAAGCAACTGCTGAACGTCTTTTGTCGTAGTTTCTGGCTCGGCGTCCTTGTGCCTTTCTCATGCATTCCCGCTCAACTGCAAGCTGTGTGAGGAAGTCAGAGGCGGCGGTAATTCGGGGCTGGCGTCCAACAGCGCGATCTAGCGTCGTGTCAGCTAGTGGAGTTTCTGTGTAGACGAGGGTCGCCGGCGAGCAGTGAGTGGGCGACGGCACTGTAGTATTATAAACCCATTCTGCACAAGCAAGAAACCCAAACCAGTTAAATGAGTTCTGTTGGTCGTAAAGTCGCAAATACTGCACCAGCGTGCGGTTAGTTCTTTCGGCCTGAACATCTGCCTCCGGATGGTTGGCGGTGGTCATGTTGTGGTTAATGCTGAGCCGTTGCATGAGGCTGCGCCAGAACGCGCTAAGGAACTTCGGATCCCTGTCGGTAACTAATCTCGTCGAGACCCCGTCGACTTCCGCACATGATGAATGAATGGCTGAGCCACTCCTTCCGCTATGATTTCGCTCGAGCAGGGAGTAAAATGAGAGTGCAGCGTGTGCGCTAAGCCGATCCACCACGACATAGATGCTATAATGGCCTCTGAAGCCTGGTAACCCCACGATGAAATCCATTCAAATATCCGTTCACATCCTTTCGCGAATAGGCACGCTTTGCAGGAGTCCGCTTTTGAGGATGTTCCGCAGCTTTTGCTACTGGCAGTTCGGGCAGGAGAGGGCGTTTTCATCGACTGATGGGCGCATCCGAGGGCAGCAGAAGGGCCTGGCAACACGCTCCGTCGTTGTATTGACCCCGCCATGGCCTGCTACAGCATGGTCATGCACTTTGCACAAAACGTCAGTGCGAAGCCGGGCTGGTACGTAGAATATACGAACACTACACTTCATTTGGTAACACAAAAGGTAGCAATCGGTGCTGCAGTGCTTGGCCCGTCCCCCATTGTTGAACTTAGCTAGGACCGCAGCCGTATGAGTATCTAGGGAATAAGAAGAAGGCAGTTTGGAGATAAAACGACAATTGCCACAGACGAGAGCTGTCGCAGAGCATTGTGGCTGACCTCTACAGCATCTGGAGAATGCGTCGGCGACCACGTTGGTGATACCCTTGATATACGTGACAGTGAAGTCGTACTGCGTGAGCCGGGAGAGCCACCAAACAACTCTTTCTATATCGCAGTCTTGAAAACTCTTGGTCGGGTGTCTCACAGATTGACGATCGGTTTGGACACTAAAATGCCTGCCATGCAGGTAATGTCGGCGCTTTTTCACACTCCACCTGACCGCTTATAGCTCTTCCCGTACCGGATACTGTTGTTCCCTACCTGTGAAATGGTGCGAGTGGCAAGCAACTATTTGGTGCATTTTCGAGTCGTTAGTCTGCTGAAAGAGCATAACCCCGCCTGCGGTCTCGCTGCCAACGGTTGTGAGGAAAAAGGGTCTATCGAAATCAGGGAGCGCGAGTACTGGGGATGATGTCAGATGCGGGCGGCTTCATCCTCGTTCTCTATCCAAATAAACTGCTTGTTCTCCTAAAGGATGTCATTTAGAGGGGCAAAAATGCGATCGAATCGAGGAATGAAAGTGCGATAGTATGGGGCGAGCCCGAGGAACTTCTGAACGCCCATCTGCGTGTACAGCGGTAGCGGTCATCTCTGAATCTATCCTAGCCAGATCTGGTTCAACCCCTGATACAGAGACACGAACTCATAAGACGTTGATTGCTTGCATGAAAAACGAACACTTCTGTGCCTTCAGAAACCACTGCTTCGCGCGTAGTAGTTGCGATTCCCGCCTGAGGTGCTGCAAGCCCTCCTGCACATTTCGGCTGAACACAAGCAGATCGTCCATGTATACTGCCATCCACCCCTCAGTCATTGGCCCCAAGAAGTCGTGGCTGTCCTGCTGCTGCAGTTCAGCAGGTGCATTCACGGGACTAAAGGGCGTACAGGTACACGCCAGCTTGCGAATGCGAACGCCGCCTTGTGCCTCTCTTCCACGCGCGTGGCATCAACCATTGCTGGAAAAAAAAACAGCAAACAAAAAATAAAACAAAACAAAATCGAACCCCCTTATAAAATATCGTTTAGTTGCTTACACAAACTCTCCTCCAATTTCAGCTGTTTCCTTTCAGCAAAATGAAGATTGATTATGATCCACTCACGGAGGTGCATTTTGATTGGTGAGGCCTCAGACCGTCAATACCCCTTCACTATTTCGGCATCCAACGCTGGGTAAAATGAATTCTTGCCAGAAACAATTCAGGAGCAATGTCTCCAGGTGTTCCGTCCTAAGCCATACGGTGGGTTCCGGAACGGAGAGGCCTTAGAGGAGCTCCGTAGTTCCCTAAACTTGTACCACCGCCTACGAAATGCCCCAGAAAATTTACAGTTACTCTTGGCCTCCTCCTTATTAGAAGCTGATGAACGGCAGTGGTGGCTACATTTAAGCAAAGGCTCTGCCTTTCCGGAGCACATCAGTTCCATACAGGCCTTCCGGGATGCGCTGTGTTGCGGAGACAAGAACGTGGTGACTGTCGCTCCCGCTTCCCCTGCAGCAGGACCGGCAGCGCTCGCCGCAGCAACAGCAGCTCGGGGAATCCTCCGACAGGCTGCTGATTGGGCCTTTCCGGCCTACTCTCTACCTCTATCTGTTGGTCTCTACTAGCAACTGCCGGCACTTACCTGAAGGGGCAGCGAGCAGCGGCAGCAGCACCGGAAGCACCAGGAGCAGCCGTTCGAGCAGCATAGGCACCAGAAGCAGCCGCTTAAGCAGTAACAAACCTCAAGCAGCGGTAGAAGGGCAAGATGCTCTTGTCGCCGCACAGCAGCAGCCCTGGATGCCAGGGACGGGATGGTTGTACGGCAACGGGGCCGGCAGCACGAGTAGCATCAGAGACAGCGCAGATCTACCGCATTCTATATGGACATCGGCGAGGCAGGACGTGCGCTTTCCGCCGATGGAGGGGCAGATGTAGCATGGTCTGCCTACAGTTAGCACAGGAACATTCACTTGCCTTGGTAGGTTGCGCGTAAGCAAATGCAAACGTTCTACAAGTACATTCAGAGGTAACGCATGCATCAAAGGAAACTTCCTTGAAGCATCCTTGTGTACACGCGTGAAGCTGGCTTGGATTACCAGCCCCAGCGATGTGCGCTGCAACCCCACCTCAGTCTGCCTCCTCCCCGCAACCCGCAGGCCTGAGGTCGACGCACAGGACGGCTGAGGACAGGGCAAGGAGGCCAGCTGTTTTGGGGAAAGTAACGTCTTAAGTATTTACCTACACTGCAGCTGTCTTCTGTCCCTGATTAAGGCCAAAAAACAGCCTTTATACGCTGCAACTCAGCACAGGCCGCCTCTTCTCCCCGGCCTTAGGATCTCCAGCTGACGGTTCCGGGCCTCCTTGTGATGAGAGAGGAGGCTAGACGCTGTTCCTGGAAATGCTTATCTTAATAGCATTTCCACTCGATTGCAGGTCGTGACGGCCCTCGGATTAGACTGAGGAACCTCGTTATACACCCCACTACAACTGTAATACACTGTCGCACCTTTGCACCGCGTACGCAACCAATCTAACAGCCCGTTCGCGACTATTAAGAGAAGGATCTGCGTAACTAGTGTTAGGAAATAGCAGTAACGGCAATACTGTGGACAAATATTAGAGGAAAAATCGTAATTCTCTAGTCAAAAACCCTCTGACCGTGCCCCGCCCCTTCGCTGGGCGATCGGTCGTTAGATCCTAGAACCGCAAGGGGATGCCGGCGTAGCGGCCGCGGCACTGTCACAGGCCCGCGTACTATAGTGACTCTGCCCCTATGGAGGAGTAGGCTTACCTCGACTAACCATTTTCGCTCTACACTTAGATTAACTTAATTCTAATTTTACACGTAATTATAAATTCCCTTTCGTTTTTGTCCACTAGTCGTCTTCGGTCGTACATTGTAGTGCTAGTGCACTACAACAACTCATGCTGCAACGGAACTCCGCATGCGCATACAACAGATGATCAGCATTTGCTCCATTCACTAACACTATCAATTACTCTTTAGAATTCACTTGGCCCTAGGTTGTCAGCCTGCGCACAAGTAGGAATACACAGAACCAACTCGCACAGACAATGCTATTGCTACGGCGCCCCCTCCCTCTCCGTACGAATGAGTACGCCCTTGCGGGCTCTGTCGAGGGTAATAAAGAACACATAAGAGGACTAAGAAGGGAGAGAAACAAACGGCACCCACGGATGCTGCTGTGCCGTAGTGATGCTGCTGCCGACTCATGCCGTGACGGGATCGTCTCAGTGACCTGACCATTGGTCATCTGTGGCACTCCATGTCGCCTAATTGGGTTAACAGCCACTTTTTAGATTGGGCATCGCAACCTCCTAAAAAACGAGAGTGAAGGAGTGCCACTGCGCAGCTACCATGAAAACGTGAACAAGTGTCGAGCCAGTCACAAGGCGTGGCGCCCAGCTTGGTAGGGAAACTTGAAAATGCAGCTGACGGCAACGCCGAGCCAAGTATAGAAAGAGGAATACTGATGATTTAATTATGTTTATCGGTCGTGTCTAATAGTTTTGCATAATATCTGCCTTATTTTTACCACTGATACAGATAGATGATGCTGCCGAAATCAAGTCAGTGTCGATGGAACGTATCGATACCCCAAAGAGCTTGTATACATTTTCAAACGAAATGAAAATGTTTTGCATTTGAATGAATATTTGAATGCATTCAGACAATACTTTTTCCAATTTTACCTCCTTCTATTCGCGCTTTCCGAGCCCGTGCACCCGAACATAAACTTTATTCACGTACTTTCGTGTATCGATTACGCACCGTAAGCAACAATGATCTCAGTTGTAGCGTAAAGTTGAATTTCTTATCGAATCATTTTGATAAAATAATATTCATGCTAGTGTATGAAACGTGCTGCATTGGAGCTACCTCTGCTTACAGCCGTTGCCTCATGATGCAGCCAAGGGCACTTGGTTCTTGTGAATACTTTCCTTGAAAGGAAACACCACACAAGTTGTTGCAGGAATATCAGGCTAGAGGCCAGTGATGCAGGCAAGCAATAAATACTGGTTCATGATAAGACTTCCTCGATCCTGTTGTTTTTATATATACGGCGTACGAGCGGGTCGTCATGTTTATGTTGGGCCAAAACCTTCCTCTTTCATACGATACACATTCATGCACGGAGACTCGAAATGCTGTTGAGATCGTCTTTAAGGCTGATGTTTACAATTATTGGTTCTCTACCATTAGGATATTTCACTGCTGTGTCCAGGTTGTTATACTGGATATATGTACGTAGAGATATAAGCAGATAAACAGAAAAGAGCGTTCGTCTTCAGCTCGTTGGTACCAAAGAGTAATAGCAGAATAGAGTTACTGAAGGTACGGATGGTGAAATTTCAGAAACGTTCATGAGATCTCGCGAGATTCGAATGCGATGAAATGATAACGGGAGATTAAGCCTCAATTTCAACGTTTGTTCTAAAGACTTATTGCAAATTATTATGCTGTGCGGTTAGTTCATATATGAGTTAGCCCTTAAAGTATAGAGCACACCACCTCGTCCCCATAGTATCCTTTGGTTCGATTCTGCCTCATTTCGTTTCCCAGCTGTTCGATGCCCAAATCGCCAACAGCTTCATCTCTACTTTTTCAATTACAGAGGCATGTTTGTTGCCTCTTAGTGCTCGTGTTTCTCGCCATCACTACCAGCTACGCTGCCTGGAGAATATGCGAATACCTTGTATAAGTGTAGAGGCATAGCCCTGCACGCTAAGCTAGCGATTTCGAGAGGCCTTTAGAGTGAAACTTCAGAACAGTAGACACTTGGTCAGCTCGTTATGTACTCATGCTGCTATTATCAGTAAGAGAGAAATCTCATGTGCCCTTCCTAGGTCGTTCTGGGGAGCTGCAAAACATCCTTCTAACGCCCAACCGTGCTAATAAACAATATAAATGCTAATACTTTGCACGAATTCGCCGAGTTGCCGGCTCTAAGGCGATATAGACTGCAGTGATTCGAGACGGCGCAATATCTCGCAGACGCTGTATAGCAATGGAGGACACGTTTCTAAAACCATACCCATCTGATGAGTTGTGTCAGTTCAAAATGTTTTAATTGGATGACTAGGCTGGCAAACAAATCCTACGGACTCTCACCTGGCCCACATGACAGAGTGTATATGGGCCGGTTATGACTCAGCTCAGCTCAGCGTTGACAACGCTTAGAAGTTGAGGGCGAAGAGGCCGACAACGACGAAAGCGCTGCTCAGGAGGGCACCATAAGCGGAGGCGGCGCCAACTCCGCTGCTAAGAACAGCTGCAACCTTTGTCCAGGTCTCTTCCCTGAATACAATTGTATTCACAACAAAAGTGTCGGTCATGTCAACCCAATTTTCCCGGCTGTCACGCAACATTTTGGATTTTTGGGCATAAAGATGCAAAACTGCAAGCGCTACATTTGTCTGCGTTAAAGTGTGGTTGCCGTGCTGGAATGTATTTATATATGCATATATATATATATATATATATATATATATATATATATATATATATATATATATATATATATGTATATATGTATATATATATATATGTATATATATATATAATAACTAATGTAGAAATATGTTTTACATTATACATAATGAATCACCAACTGTGCTGCTCATGACAGGAGTGAGAATGCTGACGTGATGGGTGATTTGTCCTTTTCGAAGACGGCGGGGTCCAGCACGCAAGCCAAGCCCTTCTCAGAGCAGCCAGTAACGGAGTAGCAGGTTGCAACGGTCTCTTCTCCCTCGCTGACGAGTGAGATGAAGTTTGTTGCAGCTCCTGTTTTGTATAGTTCTTCATCAGCAGTGTATTTTGGTGGGATGTCCACATCACTGATGAGAAACACAAGCATACCTCGAATACGGGATCAGCATTATGGTTTGAACACATGAGAAACACCGACAAGGTCGGATCAGTTTCAAGATATGGGCAAGCAGAGCTATGAAATTGCCTACTGCTGCTTCAGACTCTCCACTACTGACGCTAAAGAAGCAATGCATTGATTGACATATGTCAACAATAAAACTCCTGGAAGTGAATCAAACCCACCTGAACTTTTCATAGCCCTTCTTCCAGGCATCGACGGCATCGGAGCAGGTGGCGCTCGTGCCAGAGTGGTAGATCAAGCTACGTTTTGTGTCGGTGGACTGCGAACAAATAATGTAATCATTGCATGAACAATAGAAATTTTGTATAACTTTCCTGGTATCTTTCTTGGTGGTATATTGGAGCCCAACAGACAACGCAAGTGCTCTGGAACTTGGTGATGACTTTCGTGGTTTCCTAAGGCACTACATATGCATCAGCGTTTGACAGAGAGGTTGCCCTGAGACATACCAAGATGGTGGCCTTTCCACTCTTGAGGGTGGAGCATGTCAAACCTTTCAGAAGCTCGTCGAGTTCGGCTTCTGCCACTTCTTTCGGCTCTTCTTCGGTTGCGGACTTCTCGGCAACGAATGCGTTCAGGCCAAGGTTGTCTTGGGTGCGGAATTCGTTGATTTCTGTGAGGCAGTTTTCCTTTTCACCTGGTGTGACACAGTGAGCAATGATGCACCATGCAGTTGCATTAGAATTATGAGGATTGTCTCGTTGCTTTCCCTCAGGCAGATCTCCCTCTCTGCTACGAGTACAGCGTGCGCCACCGGCCGATCAAGGCTGGCAAACTATACGAACTAATCTTCCGAGAAACCATAAAAGTATATCCAGCACTGTTCACTGGCGTGCGGGCACGTCTATGTTTTGCTATACTTGTGGTTCCTCCATACCGAGCTTCGTGAATTTGATCTCCCCGTCAGTAGCGCCGTTGTCCCCGCTGTCTTCGGCGAGGGCCAAAATCTTGTTCCATGTTGTTTCGCTATTCAAACGGCAAACAGCAGCATCTTTCTACCGACATAATGGACGTTTACTTGTGTTGTCGCTTCGACTCAGGCGTGCACGGCACCGAACGGTTCAGCACGCTTGGGAGCAAGGAAAAGAGCTAGGTACTACAGACGGTGCTTGGGCATGAGAAGAACTAACGGACATGGCGACGGCTACTCCAACCCCGATCAGTCACACTATTTAAGACGTTTAACAAACAAATGTATCGGTCAACTGTAATGACGAGAAGATGTGCGTATGTCCCACTGTGCCTTCTGCAAACTTCAGATCTCACCTGATTGGTTCCTCCTCTTCTACCAGGGTTGCCTCCGTAATGAAGCAGATAAGTGCAGATTTTTTGCAGCCAGTAGCATTGTAGCAGAGCATTTCACGTTCTCCGTCGGCCATAAGGGACGCGAAACCGGCAACTACGTTGTCGTAATATATTTCGCCTGTGATCTCTTCCTTGTCGACTTCAGAACGAGCAAGCACTCTCTTTTTGAAGGCTGGCGGAAGGTCAGTGCTGGAGGCAACGTAACGGACAGACAATTGTCAGAATTGACGGGAAGCAGGGATTTGCTGCGGCGTTGATTTAAATGGTGGTACAAACATGGCTGCCCAGTAGTCACGGAAACGAATAAAGTCGTTACGGTTTGTGCCTACGCATTCACTCCACGGTATGATGCATTACCTAATGGGATGCTGTGCAAAGGGCATAAGTGTCTGATAATGTTGCGTTGACTGCGCACTGATGTCGCACTGTGCTCACCCCAGTTTGCTGAATCCAGTCTTCCAGACCTCAACTGCTTGTGCAGCGGTGGGGGCAGTTCCACTCTCGTCACCAACGGCGTAGATGAGAGTGTAATCCTCTGCTACCTGCCCACATATTGGAACATTTTGCAGCGTTTATTTCCGACGCATGAGAGTAAGCTGCTTTAATAATAGGGGGACAAATTCCCCCTCCATCTGGCAAGTGTCCAATATTTTAACTGGAGGGGTTTCACATGTAAAGCCGAAAAGTGGATTATACAAGGTTTGATTGAATTTGGGGAAAACTTAGAACGCTCGCAACTTGCAGTAATGACAGAATATGAGGAGACCAAACACACCGTTGGGTCGATTTTGGACTGCTCTATCTCCTCGCAAGTCAGGTTGTACAAAGCTTCCTCGTAGTTGGTCCCCTTTACTATTGATCTTTTCTTTCGGAGTGATTTGCCTTTATGCGGGGCCACAAATTTGGGTAGGTCTAACCCCGCAACCGTACGCACGTCGTTGACTGCCGTCAAGCAATCTTCGTGCTCATCTTCTACAAAAAAAGCACGAATTAGGCCATCACTATACAATGACTTCCTAGTGTACTACGCTCCGACTTGCACCTATTCTATCTTAGCCAGGCATCCTTGCTGCAGCAAGTTCGTCCTACCGTGACCCTTCAGTGTAGGCTTCTTCTTGTGGCTCGCCTCAAGCTTGTGCCACATCTTGCGGCTGTATTCATGTCACACACACGGGCGAATAGATGCAGTGTCGACTTCTCGACCCCTCTGACAAAACTTAAAGCTAATATCTATGGTTTCATATGTCGTGTTTGGGTGTGTAGCAGTATGCACACTTGTGGTGGCTCCTGCAGCACAATATTCCCATTTAATGCTACCTGGTCACTCCACATTCGAGCCACGAAAGGCCTGGAAAAATCGTTTTACTGGAGCTTACCTCACAGGCAACTGCTCCACGTCGAAGCCAGCAGGCTTGAAGTAGCACACAAATACTTTATCTGTACAGCCGGTTGTAAGTCCACAGCGAATTACCTGTGCGGTATCGCTCAGCAGGCTGACAAGCCCAACAGCATTTGGGTTATTGTACGGCTCTTGTTGTTCTTGATACACTGAAGGGAATTCTCTGAACAGTCATACAAATAGCTTGGGTCGCCATGCGCCCTCCTCATGCTCCACCGCCATGGTCTTTGGTGTACACAGGCGTTGCACAAGATATTTGCCCCAACGTGAACTTACTCGAAGAGTTCAAAGCCCTTTTTCCATTCTTCAAGAGCTTCAGCACAGGTGATATCTTCCGACCTTCTGAAGGACTCTGACTTTGTGGCCGAGATAACGAACTTCTTGCCAGAGTTATCGACCTAGGCAGTGCCACTACACATATTTAGATTCCTCCGTATGTAGGCGGCAACTTACCAGCATCCATCGTTAACGAGCAGACAGCACTCGCCCCGTGTTTAAGGCGTCAACTTTGCGGGTGGACCTACGATGTGGTTGTATTCCCCAGACTTGAGGTTAGCGCAAGTAGTGGCGGTGAGAAATGTTCCAAGGTCGTCACTGGCCGTTCCATCTGACATGGGCGAGTATTCTGCGGCTGCAGAATCAATGGTTTTGCGCCATGCGTTGATTTCTGCCGTGCACTGTGTGCCGCCGCCTGAGGAATATGGAGGCACCCAAGGTAGGCAACGCTAAGTTTGCTCTTATCTCACCTTAATTCACATTCAAAATTAGAAATATGAGCCTAGAACGTTTGCTTGGCGTTTGGAACTACTGTTTGTGGCATTCCCAGCCGCCCCTGGCCGTCATGTGCTGCTTGCAGCGTTTCAGTCAGGCAATTCAGGATTTTTCCCCAATGATAATTGCATCTTACCTGCCTCAGTTAAGTTAGTTGGATTCTCGGAGCGCATAGTTGGGTACGACTGGGAGTCTTTATTGAGAGCATCAACAAAGTTCCCGTGCGCAAATGCGGTTGCCACCGCAAATGCGGCACAAGTGCAGAGCGCTTTCATTGCAGGAATGACTGAAATTGGCAGTGCTTTCCAAAACTAATATACATGAAGCATGTATAAAATGTGTTTGGTTTTTTTTTTTGCTTGGAATTGGTCGCAGCGTCTGGCCAGCTCCGCCGGTGCTGAGCCCGGGACCCATTGTCGATGCAGCGATTTCCGCACAAACGCACCTGCGCGCGGTCGCCGATTCCCCGTTGCAACGTTCAATGATTGAAAGCGCTAATTTAAGCAAAAGCAAATAGTTTTATGTCTCTTTCAGGCAAGAATGGTTTTGCAGCTTCGATGAGTGTCAGTCACCCGACTCGTTCCCCGGGTCACTGGGTCGGGGACAACCCTGTCCCTTAACTTGCACGCAAGTAGCACATACTGTCAGTAAGTTGTTCGGAAAAATTGTATTAAATAATTGCATTATTTATAAATGATATGAGAATAATATCCGAGTCTTGCTATCTTAGTAATGGGCTGGGTGCCTTTCGAGTCTCCGCACTTGTGGATGGAGAAGTGACCCCGGCTGCGACGGGCAGGTCGGCATCCCCTGTGCCCTAGGCCCTGAACCCTTTAGTCCAAGCTCAAACATCTATCTCGGAAGGTGGAACAGAGAGACCAAATCGAACGAGTCGGTGCGGCGCCAAAGCCATACTCAGTAGGCAGCAGAGAGACAAGGTTTCGCCAGAGTCATGCTCAGTATGCGCAGGTTGTTTCGCTGCCCCATACATACCAGGCTTCAAAAGAAAGCCACAAGCCAAGTCGTGGCTGCATGTTCTGTAGCAGGTCGCCGCACATTGCGCCCGTTGTCTTCCCGTGCTTCCATATATTCCATACCGTCTCAAATGGCCTGGGCTTCAGCAAGGCACCTTCGGGTCTACTGGAGAGTACGCAGTCAATGAGAGGTAATATATACATATATATATATATATTACTTGCATAATATGATTCTCAAGTGAAATAATTAACCACCGGTTTGCTCCTTTTACTTCAACTGTGAATATCGCATACCATAGGAAACAATGGTCGTACAAGCGTCACCCGTGGAGGGTCGTCATAATTAACCTGCCGAGTACTCGATCAAATAAGGTGAGCCAACACCCAAAGAGGAAATATAAACAATGGTTCATATGCAACAACACTTTCGAGAAACATAGAAAAACAAAGTTCTGGCCGCAGCCCAACGCCCGTTCACAGGGCACCCTGCGGCCGGTCGCCATCGGCAAGCATAACGCTTAAGGATGCCGAGATATGGTCCGCTACAACAACCTGTCGGTATTCTGTTACCATTCTGTCCGATAATACATAAATAAAGTATTCCATTCAAGGTTTACATATATATAATTATTCTATTCATATTCTAGCGTTACACTACAAATATAACGCAACGAATACCTTGTAGGGCTCACGCACTACACCCTCCGTATAGGGGCACCCCTGCATTTCTGGTGTCGCTTTACCGAGCTCGTTCCCTCCAAAAGTATAACATCGGCTTTATATACCAAACACGTGCAAATTAAAGTGCACCACAGCCTCTACAAGAATATTGATTGGCTTTGATCCTGCAACATCAACCGACAGCTACGAGCAACTCCAGGAAATCTAGAATAAATGCAACGATAACGCGGGCGAGCAGCGGGGGGGAGCCCGCCAGAGCTTGTTGCCGTGGCTGCTGATGAGTGATTAACGGAGGCAGCCAAAGTATTTGGACATGGTCGATGCTGCACAGGCTTAAAGCAACAACACCAAAAGCAGGAAAGCAAGCGGTACAAGAGATACCTCTGCTGCACTAAGCATCGAGACTAAGAGAAACTTTCACTACTTAACGGGTGCAACGATTTATTAAGGCAACGCATTCGGCATAAAATTTTCAATAGATTTCTTTTGGTGAAACAGGGATTGCAAGTTTAATGTTAGCTTCTCCTTAGTTAAGCGAGGGAGCAGCTGGTGCTACTAGTGGTTGCCAGCATGGCACTGAATTCATATAGTCGTGAGGGGCTTTCGCAGAAAGACCTGAGTACAACAGAGTGAAACCATATTCTGTCTAGGCATTCTGAGGACCTGGTTAGGAACAAACCTAGGATATATCCCGTTTATCTATAATATGTACAGCAAGGAGACAAGAAGGCCTCAAACGCTCAGGCTTCAGCGACGCTCTAGGAGGGCCCCCTGAAAGAATAGCAGCAACAAAAAGTAACCCCACGTATTTGTTGGCGCAGCGAATGTTGTGGCCAGTTTTTTGATCGCTGAGCAGAAAATGCTTTTGCATCTCTTCTTTTGCCCTAGTTCAGTAAACTCTCGCCTGTTCTTGGGGCAAGGCTGTTGTTAAAGACATTTGTTTTGGGCAGAAGAGTTAGCTCTAAAACGCTACGCGCGAAAATTCCCAACTGATGTGACTCCGCAGGTTGCGAAACTCGCACAGTAAGGCGAAATCGCCGACCAAGTCTGCACAAAGCAGTAGATTTCGAAGCTGGCTTTGTTTGCAGGACCAAACGCGGCAGCAGACGTAAATGCAGGAATTAGCAACAATTAATAGTTTCTGTTATGCGGTATTCGTCTTCCACAGTTGTCCCGAGATACTGAACCGGGAACGGGTATGCCAAGCGGAAATGCGATCCTTTTGGCACAGCGTGATCATGGGAATGCCTGGGGCTTGAGTTCGTTGTCCCGCGGCTTTAATCTTAATCTATATTCGTATCTTTACAGAACCTATACAGGCAGCTTGCCTCTGGGGGGTCCCATGCTGCTACTGCCGCCCGCGCGGCCTCACTTCCCCTACTACTTAAGCTGCACCTATAGTGAGCAACAAGCGCCACAAAGCTGTGCTTGTACTTGCGGAGGCATTACCGAGCCAGATACGCGTTTCTGTAGCTCTACGCATTTTCAATGGCAACAAACCCGTAGATAGGTGAATATTCTAAAGGATTTTCACTGCACTTTCTGTTTAGCCTGCATGCATAACTCTGAGGGTACTACTGGCGGAGCTGCAGATACAGGAGTTGCATATGGTGGCTGAGATTGTCAGCCACCGCGACAAGGTTCCTTTAAGAAGCAGCAGTTCAGCTCTTGTTCAGATGTTCTATTTGTCAATTGGCTTTCATTTTCCTATGCTGTCTTTCATAAATACAACTCTAATCAGAGGCATACAGAAACTCAAACAGCCACTGCCCCCTACCAAATAGATGCCAAACTACGATCTTTTTTGTCGGTCGCCTGAGTACTCCTATGTTGTGCATCGATGGGACTTTTTACCCCCTCTCTGCGGTGTATCTACCTCCAGAATCAATGAATTCGTCGTCATCCTATTCACCAAATTACGTCATCATGAATGACTTCGTCTCATGCTGAGGCGAAAATGTACATGATGCAGTTGCTTTCGCAACAAAAAACTATTGAAGTTCTGAACCGTGAACTACAGCGGTTCATTATGCCTTTTAGGAATTCTGATTTAAGTAATTTATTTAACCTCAGCGTAATGCCAACTCAGGCCTTAGTGAGGATGTCAGTAAAGCGTGCAACTTCGCTGCATGTTTCAGTAAGAAGTTGCTTTCCACCGCTGATCGTGTTGAAACATTAGCAGTGCAATTCATGAATTCACTTCTCCAGTACGGGCTGACTGTAGGAAGGAAAAGTCCACGAGAAAGCAATAGTTCTTGTGTAGTCTGTTTCTTTCCTACGGACCGCAAACTCCACAATAGATGGCCAAGAGGTAGTGTCAGCGGCTTTAAGCATGAATACAGCATCTCCTGCTGCGGATGCTGTACCCTTGCACCAGTGCTCCAAGCTTTACTTAGACCTGCAAAAATAGCACCGAAGAGAGAAACCATCAAAAGTGATAAACGTAGAACTAATTCAGAGCAGAGGTGTCCAAGCAATGCATCTTACTCTTTCCCGACCCATAGCATAACCGCTGCCCTGCTCTGCAGTGTATGCAGACGCAGTTTGACTGGTCTTCTGCTCACTTGCTGCTGCCAGTGCTTCGTGGGTTCGTAACGAAAGTTGCCAATTCATGTCTCCGTCATGCGGCCTCGGTGACGAGGAGATGGGGGGCGGCAGAGCAGCAGCATTGCAGGTCTGAGGAGCCGGCACAGCGGCTGCAGTATCTGCTGCCGCCGCTGCTGTTGCTGCTGGTTCTGTTGTTGTTTCTGCCGCTGCTTCTGGTGCTCCTCCTGCTCCTGCTTTCGCCGTCATCGCGGGCAGCGTCAGTTGCAACAATAGCTGCTCTGCCTGTTGTAATGCGTGCATACAGCGGAGATGAAGTGGCTGGGCCTTCTCGAGTGCGCCTGCATCGATAGACGCTAAAAACGTAAGAACCATGCGGACCTGCTGATGCAACAGCAGCAGCTCGTCCGTAGCTGTAGGCAGCTGCAGCAGCGGTGCTGCAGCAACACCAGACAAAGCGCTGCAAGGCCGTGGCTTCCATGGTGTCGCCCCCCGGGATCCTAAGCTAACTAAACTAACACTAACCGGCAGCGCCATCAGCCGGAGGTGCCACAGCTCCAGTGCATTGGCAGCACGCTCTGCTGCTGCAGCAAGGCATTGATTATTCTCTGACGCTGATGATGTTGAAGTCTGTCCCGCTGCAGACGAATGCAGTGAAGAAGCAGCTATACCCTCACCAAGGGACTGCAGCAGAGCTGCTGCTTCACCCAACAGGGCAGCCGCATGCAGCCGTACCAACGGGTCTTCTTCTCCCACCCTCTTAGCCGCATCACGAATAGCAGCAGCAATAGTGCTTCCTTCCTCTGCTGCAGCAGACAATTTTTCTGCTTCTCTATTGCATCGCGATTCGATGTTTGTGTTGTGTTCCCATGCATGCACAGCACCCATGGCCGTCAGCCACAACGGATCCTGCAGAAGCTGCAGCTGGCCTGGCGACGCAGCCGCAGAAGCAATAGCAGCAAATGCTGCAGGGTACTGCCGCTGCAGCTGCAGAATAGAAGAACGCGCAAAACACGTTGCTGCTCGGGACTTAGCGTCCAAGCCAGCTGCTGCTGTTGCTGCTACCTCAGTTGGAGAACCACTGCAGCTCCCCATACCGGGGGCTTCACAGCCATCTGCAGAACAGAATGAAGAACGTTGTGGCTGTGGAGCGACTTCAGGCATCCTTGCAAGATATGAAGTCTCTTCACCTCCGTTCCTGCACCCCTGGAGAGACGACAAAGCATGCGGACTCAGTGCCCCAGAGGGTAGCACCGGCGAAGGCCGCAAAATGTATCGGGGGCACCTATTCTAGTAACAACAAGAGGAAACATCTGGAGGAAGATGTTGAGGAACATGCTGCTGCGGTGGGTGTTCTCCCCTGGAGGCAGGAATACCTCTGGGGGCCTCCCAAGCAGGGTTGGGGGGAAATGGGGCGCAGTGAAGGCTGTATTGCTAATCCTCCTAGATGCGCGTGCTGCTGAATGCCTGGCGTCTTCTTGAGGCACGCCAGGGCACCGCTAGCAATCAGAAACTTGCAAGGCTGCGAGGCTGCATGTGCCACCGGTCTGAAACGCCCTGCAAGCTTGTGCTCTCTTGGGAATGCAAACCAAACTAAGTTGTACAAGCGAATTGGTAAGCCAGCAAACTATGTAAAGGATGATGAGTTCCACAGCCTGATACTCCTGAAACGCCTGTCGTCTTTGCAGTGCATGCGCTCCGGCACTTAGCCGCAGCCAGAGAGTGGCAGTTGGCCGATTTTGAGGCCGAAAGGTCCATTCCTTATCATGTTACATTTGTTTTAGGCTTTTTTAGAGAAATTACACTCAATATGTTCATACATATGAGGGCTTAGCCTCCTAAGGTATTGTGTTGCATCATCGAGCCAGGGGTCACCGGGCTGCAGCGCAGTACGAAATGGGTACCAATCTGCAGCGGGGGGCTCCTAAGACAAGACAGACCAAGGGGGGCTAATTATCGAATTCTTTAGTAATTGTTTAGTTAAATACGTTCAAGTCACTATTGTGAAACGCAGTATACATGGAGTCTGTCGGTGCAGCTGCGCCTAGGCCGCTTAATCGGCTGTGCGGGCCCCGAGTCGGCGCCACGTGGGTGCGGCGGCTGCTTCCTCAATTCCAAATTAAAAAGCTCACACAGATTTTAAAGCCAATATCATTTGGCCAGTGCTAACAGCACAAGGAGTTTTCATCATCCAAAAAATGAAATCGTTTTGTACCTTCGCCGCACTGGCGGTCGCATCCGCAATTGCTCAAGGGAGCTTTGCTGATGCCATCGGTCAAGGCAGAGCAACATTCCAAAAGCTTCGCTCCATTGCCAATGTAACGGGGCTGACTGAGCTAGGTAGGCTGCAACGAGCCCCGTAGAGAAGCTGCCACTGCACGTTTCCTAAGTCGTCCAGGGATAGCTGTACAACCGTTGTAGCGAGAGTCCTCGATCTTAACCGAGTACCCCTGTAAGCTGTAATCGACTCAAGTTGCTCAAAGCATATTAGTAGCTCGAGGCTTTTTTCCGAACTCGAGACGTCCAGGGGCACCCCGGCACAAGGGCCGGGTGCGCAAAGGAAGCAGATTCTTGCGTTGGTTGTTGAACTCACTGCTGTAGCCTCTGTTGCAAGGCAGTTCCATGTGACACCATACCTGAAAATCCTTTAGATGAATGCAAAACACTGTAGACAACTGTTAAGCGTTCGCTTGAACCTCAGGAGCCAGGCTGTACGCAAATAGAAATGCTGATAACAACGTCAGACACTCCAAGCCACTGCCCTAAACGACTATACCTCTCATATACAGTGGCAACAATCGTTCAAGAAACAGTATATCATCCCAACTTGCACAGCAACCGGATGTAATAGAGAAGCATAACTGTATTGTGGGTTTCGACTACTGCGGCTGCACTCAGCAGACGCCCAACACTGCACGGTTGAAATAAACAAGTTTCGGAAGGAAGTGGATCCCAATGCAAAAGAATACATAGCAAACGAAGAGGGAGAGCCAGATACGGATATTGCAAGCTTCCTTTCGACGACATGCGAAAATCTCAAGTCCGGGGATTTTACAAACATAATTGTAAGCCAAGCAATAGACCCCGTGGCCTTAGAGGTTCTTCAAATCCAGTGAGTAGGAGGCATTCTCGCCTTTCCTTCAATTTGGGCCCAAAAATAAGGAAGTAAAGTAGACTGGTTGGGGCGGCTTCTTTCAGGGGGATGACGAAGATAAAGCATTTGTCATTTCGGCCACACGGTCACCTGAAGCCCTACGGACCGCAATGACCTGTGAGGAAGCCGTTCAACAATGGAAAGAAGGATATTCAGTCTTCTCGTAAGCACAACAAAACGACGACGGTATTTTGCGTGGCCTAGGCATGGTTGTATCACGACACGTCACAGCACGTCATGACTTCTGGGTGTCCTTTTAGGGGTGAATACCCTGGAGTGTTCAAGGAAAGCGGAGAACCATACACCGACCCGAATGCTGTAGCCTTTGTCAGCTTGTTGAGCGAAAAACCGGAGATTATTTACTGCGGCACTCCGACAGGTTGTGACGAGGGAAGCATTGTATGCTATATCAAGCCCTCAAGCATAACTGAAGGGAGCCATCCAATTACGTGAGTCAAAAGCACCTTATAGGGCAGCTTCCCTTGGCGAGAGTGTATGATAGTAGGAAAAGATTTCTAGGGAACGCTTTCTGCGAGTTGAAATACGAACCTGCAGCGCGATCAAGCACCCGAGCACGCGGGCTAAACAACGATAAAAGTTTTGTTTCTTCAATTCAAATGCCCGTAAAGCAATCAAGCACGAGGGGGTTTAGCAACTGTACCACATTAACCGTGTGTCCGTTAAATTTCTGCAGTCGCCAGATGTGGCATAAGGTTGAGGCAAGCAAAGGCTTGAAGCCCACACTGGAGGCTCACGGTGGGCCAAGCTTGCATCGTTGATATCTATAATACAAAAAGTAGCAGGCAGCCCGAATAAGGTGGACTGTGGATCCCGCTGTTGAGAAAATGTGTCGTTCTGGCTTCGTTGGCAGGTGATGGCCACAAAAACTGCTTGGAAGCCGTCAATGCTGTGCGTACCGTGAAGGGGCTGGGCCTTCCCGAATTCACTGGTCCAGTGGACACGAAGAACATGAAGAGGAGAAATGCGATTGGCGATGCCACCGCTTATGAGAATGCATTGTATAACCTGAAGTGTGAAGATATAAAGGATTCAAAAATCCATCCAAATGTAAGCTTTTACTCCGACAACAACGCCTCGCAGGGGAGTCTACGAAGCCAATCTAAACCCCACACCCCCCACCCATGTACACCGCAAGCAAAACATGAAACCAGGGCAACAAAGGCCCGAGTCAGCTCTGTGGCTCTCTTTAAAGCTTCACAGTATCATCTTGATGGAGTGGGCGACGCGTGCTGCTGCAATCAATGAGCAGGTTGGAGATGAATACACTCTTATCTACGCTATTAAACAAGGGGACAAACCCCCAACAGCGGAAGAAGCAGTCGAATTCTGGAAGGGCGGATTCACTAAGCTTGGGTCAGCGCACATCCCTCACCAGCAGAGAACGATTTCAGAATATCAGAATCTGACCCATGGCGCAGAAGTGTACAATCCACGAACATGTTGACTCATGAGGAGAACGTGTAAACGAAAACTCTGTGAATGCCACTTGCAATGCGGCAAGCGGAGAGCCACTTTTGTTTCAGCTATATACACCAGCAACTTTCCGAATCCACACAAGCTCTCATCGCTAGATGGTTGGTGCCTACCGTTGCTTGCAGCACCGACGTCCCGCCGGCTTTTACTCTCATGAAGCCCACACGCACTGAAGGAATTGACGGCACAATATACTACGACAACGCAGTGGCGGGCTTCGCTTCCCTCATGGTTGATGATGCCCGCGAGATGAGGTGCTATGACGCTACGGGCTGTGACAATTCCGCTCTGATCTGCTTCCTGTCAGAGCCGACCTTGGTGGAAAATCACGAACCCATCAGGTGAGCGTTGACGCTTGCTGGATAAAGTCTACTAGAAAACAAGTTGCACCCTTGTTTGTATACCTTTGATGCTGTCAACATAAATTTAAGAACTCCAAGCGACCCGACTTCTTTGGATCCACAGTTGTGGTTCTCGGTGTTCCGGCGTGCACGACGATACGTGCTATCGGAGCAGTTGTACTACACACCCACATTCTGATCCGGCAAATGGTTGATAAATATGTTGAGTCTGTCTACGAGTAGAGAGCACTGGCCTCATGCACAATCATGCAGGCACCCATGCGGTAGAGCGATGTGACGTTTTGTATGTATGCAGTGAAGATACATGGAATAAGATTTTGGCTCTCCAGAACGGAGAAGGTGACGAGAGTGATGACAAGGAGGCTGAACTCGCAAAACGCGGTATGGAGCCGCNGGAGAAGGTGACGAGAGTGATGACAAGGAGGCTGAACTCGCAAAACGCGGTATGGAGCCGCCACCTATGCGCCGCAGCGGACAAAATTCTATGCGACGATGGCAGGTGCTGACTGGGTGTTGAAGCAAGATATTCCGTAGAGAAGCGCAGTTTTACCTTGGTGTTGGTTAACGCGGTGTCTTCAGAAAGCACCACTTAGTGTCTGAAGGACGGCAGTAGAATGCTACTATTAAGCAGGCGCAACTGCGATGTGCGGTACTGCCAATGATGTTATAAACCAGATGAAGATGATAACTGCCTCGAAGAAATAAATGAATTCCGCACTCAAGAAGCCCTTGGCCTGAAACCCTTCCTTGCCGAGAAACCAGCTGCTGAAGAAGGAGCGAAAGATTCGACAGAATCCGACTCTGTGGACTCTGTGGACTTCCCGACGGGCTTGACCTGCTCCGCCCTTGCGGATGACAATGCTCAGATCTTGGTGCGCCTCAGCTTTCTTGCACTTTGAATTATTTTGAACAATTCGCTGAGTATTAAGAACGCACAGAAACACTTGCCGAGCAACATATCGCTTCTGTCTTCCGTTGGGTAGCAAGAGACTTCAGAGGGCGATACTGTAGAAGATGTGCCGAAATTCAACTGTGCATGCAATGCCTATTTTATCTTTCCTCAGGATTCCAATTCAAAACGCAGCCTGATGTACTACTATGGCAGCGACGCATCTTGCTCCGAAGCTGTCAAGGCTTGGAAAAAGGGCTATGACAAGTTCAGGTGGGGTTGAATTCCAGCTGAAACTTTTC